TCGGGGACAGTTTCACCTTGTGAGCTGTGGCATCTGGTAATTAACCTTAATTATTCCTAAACCCCATGTCTTTGCTAATTCGGACCAGGCGTAATTTTATTAGCACAAATGATTTAAATAGTTATGACATTAACAAATACTACTACGTAGTTCTAGAAATTAGTAAATAGAGGTCTCCGGATTTGGGTGACATGGTGAATACACTTAAACAACTCACAAAAACGCGCTGCTTTAAATTTATTGGTGGCACGCAAACCCCTTTTTTAGCGGTTGGTTCTTTTACTTTGGAAATACCACGATTTTGTGGCAATAACTGACCGTAATAGACGTGACTCCTTTTGCGAGACTGCAGTCGCAATTTCCAGAGTGACATTTTTCGACAATTTCGGTTGCAACAATATTGGTGACTCATCATCGACAACAATTGCTTTTACAACTTCTGGTAACCTTCATGTTCGCGTAACAAAACGCAGGCAGATTTGACTTTTTAATTAATCTCTTTTCGGACAGTTGATGCTGGAATCGAGTACCGAGTTTTCTAGACCAATGTTGTGGCGGATATCCGAGACGGATAATCGATTTTAACACCGAAAATTTCCTTTTCTGATTCATTAATATCACGTTTGGTAAAAAAAGAATGTTACTATAATGATATTTAAGGTTCAGTATCTAGCATCAGTAGATCAGTATCCGATCGTAAAGAATAACCGATTTTTATCAACATACAGTTTCACAAACTTCGTTTCTAAATTATTTACCACAGTCCAGCGGGTTTCAAACTTGGATTTCGTGTGTTGATCTCCCGTTTCTTGAGAGGTCAGATCCTGGTTCTTATTGGTTCGTGTTTCAAGGTCGAGGGGTTGACTTAAAGCTGGGACAAACAACATAACACGGTAGGTGTTTACCTAAGCTAGGACACGTGAGCCAATGTATGCGAACTGCATAAAGATGGAACATTAAATTTATCAAGAAATGACTCAGAAACACCGTCAAAAGAACAACGTACGGACTCGGTCATGGTGCGCAGCGCGATGCGTCAGACGTGAGGTCCACGCCCTGGCTTCATCTGTCCCATTGTCTGGGACAGTGCACCCTGCCTGATCGACAGTGGACAACGCTAGCCCTTGCGTGGGCTCACGCAGGTGCGCTGTCACGGCTGCACGCTGACAGCCCCAAGCCACAGCGAGGCTATCGATTTCAAGTGGTGTCGTATATAACACCGCCCATCACCCCCGTCATGTTCCGCGTGATTGAAGGTGCAAAGATGATAGGGCAACGAGTTACGCACTTGTGTGGAAATCTACACGGTCTTAACCTCGTCGTGGGCACATTGACAAAGCGGAAACAATTGTTTCTCTGTACATAAGTAATTACTGGAGTTCGTTCTGTAGTCTTTGCTTCCTTCAGGAGGTAATTAATGCCCAGTGTCGCCGGATGCTCAATTAGGCTAACGACTAAAATACGCAAATGTTTGATCAGATGGATTGCAGCACCATACATACCGGTCTAATAGGATGGATATCTTACAGCGACCTTGCAATGGGATGAATGCACAGTAGGTGTTCAGACTTATACTACTTATAAAATTATAGCACTGTCAGGAAATTTTGCAAGGACCCAATTGTGAGGAGATTGTAAAAGGCGAATTGTGAACAATGGATGCGCCCAAAAGTTTGTGAACATCGGTTTCATTTAATTCTCGAAATATCATTGTCTTATCAGGTTTACCAGTTTTGATCAAATAACATGCCTTTTAGTAGTTCTGGCACTCTCTACCACTAAAACATTTTTGCAGTAGTCCTCGAATGACCATTTTTTTTAGGGGGGGTTAGTTTCCAAGTTGATCAGTTTTAGTCTAACAGTGAGCTAGACTGGCATAACAAATGTACAAGTGGTTTAATGTCGTCCAGGGCGATATTTACACACTTTAACCGAATGCGTTTGTCTCTAACTGGTAAAATTCAATACCGATGAACACAGTGAGACAAAATATTGCATACATTTGTGGAAAGAGCTTGTACTACCGTCTGGAAGTCATTTTACCTTGGACATTATGTGCAGAAGATGGCCGTAAGAAATATTTGTCTCGATATCAAGACTACGCCTGCAGGAACTGCTTCTGCACGCAAGCATTCAAAGGAAGCAATGTGGGGAAAGGATCCGCTTCAGCATCGCCAAGAGGAAGTCGCCGAGCATTTCACGCTCGTGCACCTCGTCCACAACCGCGTGACTGACAGACTAGGGGGAAGGAGAAGGCGACTTTCACAGTTTCAACAATCGCAGTTCACATTTCCCCACAGAAGCGTTTGCTCAACAGCGAATTCGCCGTTACTACCAATACCAATATCTGATCTTTAATGTCGACTACGAAACCCCGCTTAGTACCTGTGAGCGCATCATGACACCCCTCTTGTTCCCAACTCATCGCTTTCAAGAAATTAGTTTAAAAATTACCACTGTATTTCTCCAGACTGCAACAGTTTATCACGATCCCAAAGTACTTTTCTAACGCGCACGCATTTACAATTTAAGGCCTTCTATTTATCTTCCGACTTGACTAATTTGGGAGATTCCCTGACTACCATGACCACCTGGGAAATCGTTGATTTCAAATATCTGTTCAACTGACATTAATTGTAAAATGTGAGAATGCACAGCCAGTAATTCAAGAAATTTTATCATTTGCTACAAAACTTGTTTTGCAACATTTGCCATGCTACTTTCATCAACTTGCGCTGTTTAGGTGTTCTGATGAGGTTAGGATGATTGGTTGTCGTCGGGAGGTGTTGGGAGTCGATGTTCATCGTCAGGAAGTTAGGCATCGTCCGAGGTGATTGGGGTCAGAGATGAAACCCGGTTGAGCTAGGCGGGAATTAAGTAGTGAAGCCAGTCTGATACAGGTGGGTGCAGATAACGAAAGCCAGGTTGAGAAAAAAGAGTAATAGTCACAAGCTGATATTCGAAGGAGGGCAGAATGGCTTGAGAGGTGACAAATCATTAGGACGTGAAACCGACTCACCACGTTGCTTAATTCGTACCGGAAGATAGCAAATTGCCGAAGAAGGTCGAAGTTGGGGTCACAAATTGTTTAGGGTGTTGAATCGAGCCCGATTACGCTACTCTGAGTACCCGAGAGGATGACGAAAACCGGAGAGGACGAGGCACAACCGTTTGCCAGGTTGATACAGTTGAGTGAATTGGTAACAATATAGACGTCTGAATGGTCACATGGATAAAGTGGGAGGTGGTAGTACCCGCAGAGTGAAGAATGAGCAGGCGATCTCGCACGACGTGAAAAGCGGGATGTGTGTGCGAGGCTGGAGCGACCGGGTTATTGGACGTGAATCAACACCATTCACTACAGCACTTTCACTTAGCGCATTTCATGATTCCGCTTAACACTCAACAGAACTCCAAGTGTCATCAAGTGAATAAACCCTTAATTTAACCTTAAACGCTCCCCCATCCGTATCGCTAAATGTGCTTTTTTACCTAGAACGAAAATAATTATAAGTTTTCCCAGGTTTTCACAAGACATGTGATTCGTATGAGTTCTTCAGCTAACCAATCAGGGTGAGTTTGGCTAAGTGGGTGAACGAGGTCGGGTTACACGGGTGCTGTTTACAAATTTACTTTGAATACCACGTAATATTGTGCCGTCACACAAGATTTTACAAAACATGTAGCTAGGCAGACCATGACGTAGTACAATTTTCCATCCATGTCGAGGAAAGTATCCAATTTAAGACTCAAAGGCAAACATAATTTGTGCAATTAGCACGTTTGCGATTTACGTTGCATGAGGAAGATGTCGGTATCCGTTGAGGTCCAATGATGAGGTATCTCGGCCAATTTCATTTCAACAAAAAAACTAGTCACTTCCAATCACCTGTTGCAATTTTTCAGGTCCCACACACAAAACAATTATTTTTCATTTCATTAACTTTTGAAATCCTCCTAAATAGGTCATATTATAGTGTTCCACCATAATTGGATCAAGATTCTTTTAGTACCAAAACAACACAGAGAGACACAGGATTGGCTGAAGCCAGCGTGGTCCAATATGTCTGCGCCCTGATCCGTCGCTACAACAGGTTTATCTGAAGATAATCAACATCTGTGACTTTCGCTTAATCGACTATTGGCTCATTCAAACTGCAGTTTCCTTAATGTGCCATTCACAGCCCACAATGGCGTCATGCCCATCAAGTGAAAAACGATTGCACGGCTTCCTTCTCATCAGCTACGACAAGTGTAAAGGGAGACCAAGATAATAAAGTGGTAGATCGCCCTTGTAGCAAAACGAAAGCAGAAGAAATCTTTTATGAATAACCCCGGGAAACGCTTAAAAGGATGTACGCAAATTAGCCATATCTTTGGCCATAGTCAACACTAGGAGCCACATTGTGGAGGAAAAGTTGCTGGCCATTTAAACACCACGCTTGTCTGTTGATTTCCTTCTGGTAAAGTTGACGAATATCCGTGATGATTGTATTCGTTGTACTAATTATGACTTCTGTTTCAGTGCTTAAAATTTGAGACAAAATCGTGCACATAATTAAGCATGTAATTTTGAATTAAGAGCCTAATTTTGCCCTAATTTTGGACCTAAAGAATCGACCCAGTTGTGAAGTGGCTGAGCACTTCCTCTGATACCCACCTTTATTGATCTTCTCAATACCGCAACACAGGATACTTGCAGATCCTCTTTATAAATCGATCAAAACCTGTCGATTAACGATGACGATTCTTTTCAACAAATCAGCTCAGCGCTGGGATATGGAAGTGCTGCAGGGTGAATAATCACAGTAGCGCCAAATGATCTACTGAAATGTATTTGAGCTATAACTGTTCTAGCTGAGGCAATTAACCTATTCAAAGAAAAGAGAATTTCATGGTCATTCGTGACTTTGAAATCTATACCAATCTAGCCTAAACTGGCAACCACCTTCAAGGAGATTCGCCATAATAACACACCCACATCAGAATAAGTAGTAAATTCATATTTTCAAAAGACGTCTAGCACTAAGCAAATCATGAAAATCCTCTTCATAAACATTTTCCTCGGAGCAGTGCGTCCGTACAAAGTCATCATAGAAGGAGTGGCCGTAAGTTATCCTTGCCTTCAGGAGTCCCGTGCAGGCCTGCATCACGTAGCCTCCTCTTTCCACGGTGAAAGTGGAGAGAAGAACGCCCGAGTAGTTCCCGCCAACTTTGGTCTCCCTCGTGCGGCACAGACGCTCACGTCGCACCTTAGCCATCCAGGGGGGTTCAATGCCATTTACTGCGTGTTGGTGGTTGCGCTGACGAATCGAGGCCATTGGGTCGTGGTAGATGTAGGTCGAGAGAGGAAGGGGAATGTACACCACTGGCTTGATTGAGCCTCGCATTTTGTGGTAAATGTAGGGATCTTCGGTCTGACAGCCCCGACTTGTTCTCAGAAGGACTGCCACGAATTCCATGTCTTCCAGGTCAAAGCGGACACGACAGATGTCACCGTCAGAGTCCACCTTCATCAACAAGGAGGCTCTACAGCAACCCGATTCGTTAGGTTGTACGCCATGCTTAAGCCGAGACGCCACGGTCAAGTCGCCGTTGATTGGCAGAACGAATTCCATGTTGTCCTTCCTCAAAAAGATTTTGCCATCGAAGCCACTATCCCAGGTTTGGCTCGGAGGTTGTCTTCTACGTTTCAGTCCATGAATTGGGGTGGTGTAATTTTTAATGTAAAAGGGAAAGGCGCACTCAGGATGCCTTGTCTTGACAAATTTCTCCGTCGCGAAGACTTGTGACGCTCGCGTTGTTTGACTTTCGACGGCAGGTCGGCTCTTTGCATGGACAAAGCTAAATCGGGGATTAACTGCATGGAACCTCATCAGGTAGTGTCCTTTGCCAGGAACAAACAAGTATAATCGACTCTTAGTCATCGGCTTTGGTTTCTTCCCCAAGGTTTTGCTGAACTTGGCATCCTCCTCGGTAAAATCAACCTGGAAGGAGGTTGGTTCAGACGCGGGGGGTTTTATGTTGGGGATGAATTCGGGAAAATCGGGCGGTAGGGGTAAGCTGGGCTGACGTGGTAAATCTCCGCCTGGATTGGGGATTTCAGTGCTGCAATCTTCGGCTTTTTTGACTTCCTGGGCATGTACTTGAGCAGACCAGTTGCTCCCCATTCGCCATTCACGTTTGCTACGCTGTGGACACGTGGGTGCTAGAAACCACGCTTTATCGATTTTGGCTTATTTGAAAGCAGAACATAGTCCGTTGCCTTAAGAGGATAGCTCAAAAAGTAATCTTTCATTTCTAAGTAATAAAAAAGGTGTTTACGAAGAAGGCTTCCTCTCACATTAGGATTTAAGCCCATATTTTAATCTTTTGAAGCAATTCGGTTGATTTGTGATTTGTCTGTCTTTACTTTGCTACCCATAAATATTTAAGTAACAAAAATGTGAAACAAAATCAATAGCCGCAACTACAGTATGATCTTACAAAACCGCATCAAGATTGTATTGATCAAATGTTCAGTCAAGTGAAAGGAAACCTCATGTGCATCGATTTAATAATCAATTAATAAAACAACAGTCCCTTGTTTGGCTCACACTCCACGCACACCAACCCGCGTGCGTCAAATTACTCTGAATCTTGGGACTTGTACGTGTGCTTTTGTCAATTCCAGGATTCTGGGGCATGCTTTATGGTAGCCCACCGAACCCCAAGTGAAGTGACGGTGGTGAGCAGTTCTCAGCCCTCGAACGCCAGCCACGGGCAAGTCCACACCAGGACAGCATTAAACTCTGCTTTGCTCGGGGACTAAGGCCATAATTTGCCACGAGTAAGCTCTTTTATATGGCGTGCAGGTGTTAAAGTGAGTCACGACCATACCCGACTGAGGGGATGTGTTCATAGCGCAACAGTGCTAATATTGCTTTAGGCTTGAATAAATGTCCATGCCTGGGTGGTTACTCAGCAAATGGATAAAGGCGGTATTGGTCTGGTTAAATGGGTTTGATTTAGTAGTGGAGGAGTGCCATTCGGGACCATCAAGAGCAATTACTGGATCTTGCGAATTTATCATCAGCAGTAAGGTGTGAATTGTCACTTGGCATCCACACACCCGCGCTATTAATTTTGCGCCACGCATAAACATGGTAAAGGCGGTTTGTGCGCATAAATTTAGGCAGAAGTAAGCGCTTCGTCACACGCACACACTCACACCACACGGTTCCGTTTGCCCAACGGTTTGACCTCAAAAGCGCATGACTCATCCACACGGACCTTCTGATGGCCACGCACAGCCCTCATCTCACACCCAAGTGCACGAATACTTTACCTTGCGTTTCAGACGCCTGTAGTTAGAGTTGAGCGTAAGTGATCACCGTGCGAACCAAACTTGAGGCGAATCAACGTCTTTCCATTTGCTGATCGAGATGGCCAGGGAATTTATATTAACTTGAATGGGGCTGACAGAGATTGTGTAGCTTTACATGTGGCTTATTCAAGCCCGCTAGACCCCGGAGAGCACTTGTGTTGCTTGACATCTGATTCACACCGTAAACAGAACTAATCCTTAATATTACTTATTTGCCTCATCTAACCGCCTTAGCCACCCACGCTACATGAGGTGCTGGTTTCGCTAACCAATTCCTCACGCACAGCGACCTTAGTAATACGTGGGCTCAGATATATTTAAATTTTAAGTGCAGTGGAGTCTACCCTCGCGCTGATGTGCGATCGTAAGGTCGCACTAATCCACACCACCGGACTCCCCATATCAACGATCCGGCGAGGTGCAAGATCTGCCCCTCCACAATTCACTCGTGCCGGTGTTTGCCACACCCGGTACTCCAACTTATCAGTGCTTATGCTGCTAACTTCAGCCCTGGTTCACGAGAAAGTTGCAGCTTCAAACTTGAATGCTTTGCCAACGCGGAACTCTTGCGCGTTATTGGGGAATATTTGATGGGCTGCAAAAGTAACATTTAGCGCACACTGGGCCGCTTTGCAAACACTACCACGACGCCAAGACAGGCTTATTGTCGCTCTGCCGCCTACTCACAAAGAGCGGTGCCCAACTTACACGCGAGGCGGCATCTTATTCCCCATACACTGGTTTCACTTCCGCTTTTGGCACGTGAGTCACATGCCTACGTCTGGAATGCAAGTCTTCACCGCACACAAGCCGGCTAACGCTCGCATCACCTCGGTGCAGACGCCGCAAAACGCAGTTTGAGGCATTAACGCGCTGTCCATTGTTTAGTATTCTGATAGCGTAATACTGCCAAGTGCTTTGATAAATATACACTTCGAGACAATTCCGGATTAAGTGCAAATCAAACACACCCTATCCCGTCCCGTGTGTCCACCCAAGACAGAAAGCCGCATACGACAGCTTGATCCAAAGTTGGTTGTGAGGACACGACCTCACATCTGCCACTGCTCATCGCCTGTATGGAGGTAGTCAATGAAACCCTCTCTCTCTCTCTTATCTGACTGGATGAAACACGAACACCAGGCACGACGTTAGCAACTGCTGCCTGCGACTCTACCACGCACGACGACCTCGTGACACCAAGCCAAGGAGTAGTACGGGAAGGGCTGTTTAGACAGCAGGTTTAATTCCAGAACATGAACAAACAACCGGGCGTCTCTTGGTGGAGCTGTAGTTGGCGTGTCCGTACATGCACTGCGGGCTCTCAGGCAGTTTTGACGTAGGGCGTGCACGCCTCGGCTCCGCGACTCACCGGCCTGTCACGATTTCACCGCCAGGAATGACCGTTCCGCACAAAAACACCCAACAACAGCTGCGTCGTGACTCCAACACACCGTAATTCCATGCAACCGACTTGGTGGAGCACGTTTGAATCGCCTCACGCGAAATCACACTCAAATTGTCTTTTGAGAATCAATGCCTGTTATTCAACAATATCTACAGAATTTGAGACGGTGACACGAGAATGCAAGCAACACTATTTATTCACCAGCTTGTCATTATGTGTCGTGGCGGCTTAAATAGATTGAGTCTTTGGAGGTTGAGGGGGGGTATAGGAACAGGTGATCGATTAGAAAAAAACGACTAGCAGGTAACCTCACACACCTCAGTAAGACTCATTCAGGCCAGATCACCAGCAACCGAAGAATTGATGCTATGAGAGTGTTTTATAAGAATTCAGCCAGCAATTTAAGCACGGCTACGCTAGCTCTCGATCGAATTGAGTGCTGGATGACTGTGATTAAGACTGCTATCGATTGGCTTTCACCTTACTTAGAGGAAAAAACCCAGAAGTGACATGAACCAGTGAAATGCACAGAGAAATCTTATTTTACACACGTTAGAAGGATGATGGTAAAATTCACTAAGAGAAACGAACTATAAAAATTGCCCGTCCCGAGCAAACTACGCAATCATAATTGACAGTCAGAAGCACAATGGGCAGCTTAGGAAATGGGGGTAAAAATGAAGGCCTGGACATGCTACAAGGCACCTGAGACTGGTCCATTATCCGACTCAGTACTTTTTCATGTGGTCCATTATCCGACGCACGATCTCCTGAACTGGCTTCACTTGGCCGTAGAACTCCACAAACTCACCCTTTGGATTCAAGAGGTACATCACAACGGTGTGGTCCACCTGAAAAGCAAAAAGCCACCACGAAAGTGTGACTGGACTTATTCTGCAGCTCACCCAAAACATTCCAACTAGTGGTTTTATGATTAACGGCAATTTCTCAAGGAGTCCAACACATGGACGAGGAGACGCAACTACAGGGTAACGTAAATTTAGACTTCCTCTGAGGAATTGGGTTTGTTTTCTGTTTAGGTGTTGATTTCCAAATGCAAGCATTTAAGACTTAGAGTCAATGGAATCCAGCACAAAGAGGTTTGAGACAGGGCGTTATGGCTTGATGGAAACGAGCACTTCCTTGGAACGTACAATATAGTCGCCATCACGGTCCGGTGGGCCCTTGCTGTAGTAGATGCGATACCGTTTTGCAGTTATTTTGATCTGGTCCGGAGAGCCCGTAAGACCAACCAGCTTCGGTGAAAATTCTGCGTATGGAAAAAAGACAGAGTAGAATTGGCATGAGGATGCGGTGTAGACCTCTACGACCGGCGCACATCAGTGGGCTTTGGGGCTACAGCAATCGACTGAAGCTGGGGCGGTTTTCGCAACACTTGAACTATTCACGCAGAAACGTGTGCGCAAACAAGGAGGAAGCATGCACGAGGACGACGGCACGTTACAAGACTAAACACTCAAATTTAAACCGTTTTCAGCTTTCTGAGAGGATGAACGGTGTAAACGAATAATGATACCGAAACCTTTCCATCATTAGCATCACCACGGAGCGAGACGCCGAGGCAACTGCGCGGTTAGCCACAACAAAGGATAACTTTTAACAATCAACGCACATGTAAGAATATGTGTGTCTATGACCTTGAATTTTTATTCCGGATTTACACACACACGATGTCCCTGATTTTCCTCAAGCATTTGCAGATTTTGTGGGACCCGCAGTGGTAAGCATAATATCAGAGCGCGATAGAACAAGCGCAGTCACTGGAATGCTCTTCATTGGCAAATCTCTGACACGCCCCCGAGGCAAGGGTGGCTGGCGGCGGCGTCGCCAAGGGCGTGCCGAATGCAGTTGCGCGAAGGCAACTGCAAAAAGCGGACCAATCACATTGGCACATTGCTGGCACTGTAGCGAACAGTTATAACATGCAGTTTTCTGTCTAGATTTAGCCCGAATTCAATTAAGTTTGACGACAAAATGAAGACTTTTAAGTATCAAATGGGAAAAGAAGAACGGGTTTGTGATATTATTAAACTACAAACAAACATTAAGTTACATTTTACCAGTTAGGTTAAAAAGGTATAGATAAATCGGTAGACGAATGATGCCATATTTTGTATAGGAAATTTTTGGGGTTTAATTGAAGAGCACTAGGGAGCTCGTAGTTTACGTTTGAGTGAAAAATTTGAGGCAGAGATATAACTAAGACCAGATTAGCCAGAAAAAAAGCAATATGTGGATAGAGCTTCCCCAAAACTAAAACTACAGTCCTTCATCCGAGTTATAACAGTCCGGTGTCAGTCATGATTGCGAACAAAAACTTACGAGTTTTAGGTCGGGACCAATTTTGATGAATGCGGTTCTCCGTTAAATTTAAAAAGGAATTTATTTAGGCGTGATAAAAGTGACGAGCGACATCGCAACCGGGAAGCCTCGAAATTTTGATGAGCCGCAACTGGCGTTTATTTGCACGTAACCTCACCTTCGTCACTTGACCCAGTCCGGCAAATTAAATTCCATAAAAAGTGAGCAGAGAACGTTGCAAGCGAATACAACGACAAAAAATTCTAAATCAATTACTGGACTACTAGGTATCAAAATATTTAGAAGCATTAGTTGGTACAACGAACAAAAACTTACCCTTCACATATTCCCCAACGACTTCAGGGGTATCTCTTTCAGGGTCCACAGTTATAAAGATAGGAACGAAGTCCTTGTCTTTGCCGTATAGACCTGAAAACGCAGAAGGAAAATCACCATAAATCATCAATAGCGTCAATAAAAATTTGGGCCAAACCTTAAACAAACTACGAAAATAGACTGAATTGAAGAAAAGAGCACAAATTACCAAGTCTCTCCTGAATCTCCACGATGCGTTCAAGTTGTTCGGGGCAGATATCGGGACAGCGGCAAAATCCGAAATAGATAAGAACCCACTTTCCTTTAAAGTCAGTCAAGGTGACTTCCATTCCAGTTTGATCACGCAGCCGAAAATCCCCTCCGATGGCTATCTGACCAAGATTGGAAGAAATCTGTCTCATGGCTAAAAAGGAAAACAAGAATGAAACAAACAAAATCCAGAGATTAATGCCTCGCTATCTGAACATACAGCACTCTAGCTGTCATATACAAACCATGCCAACGTAAAACAGTAACGAGTTCACGAATCAAAATAGTTAGTGACAACAATCGGAATCAAATTATGGTTCACAGAGAAACGCCACTCGATTTGAGACATATTTAAAGACCATATGTGCGTCAATAAAAACCTATTTACACACTAGTAAATCTGTGAATTGGAAACGTGCATTAAATATGCACAACAGGAACTTAAGGAAGGAATAAAAATTTCTTCGTTACTTACTATCCTTTCCTCCAGAAACAGCATATGTACTAAAGTAGGCGATGGCGGCGGTACATGCGAAGAAAAAACCCCATTGCAACCATAGGTAATTTTTCTATCGATTAGATATTTAGAAAAAAATACAAGACTACCTTTCGGTGGCTGCTGTCCGTAGCTAAAAAACGCCGATATGTTAAGCTTAATGGAATTCTAGGCTGACTTGGCCAAGATAACAAAAGGGATATCTTACGTCAGGACTTTATTAAAAGCCCGGGACACAAATAAAAACCGACAGCACCCCATCGAATTTGAATGAGCGCAATTATGAGAAACCGCGCTAAAGCGGACCACAATCTAATACGACAAACGGATTGTTTTGATGGACATAGCTGCATGATTTTAGTATGTTTACTAACTTAAATCTAACAGTGAGCCTAAAATTTACGTGACTTAGCAAATTTCTTAATAACTTAAGTGGTTGTTTACGCTGAAAATTTTCAATTTGCAAACTCCTTAATAATTTAGAGTTAATAATAATATAAGTAACTTCCTGTGTTTAGTGCAGCTTACACGCATTCGATTCTCATGGTTTTGAATATGGTGGATTTTTAGCATCCTTTTGATGTCGAAAATCGGAAGCACAATCACTTGCGTTCCAAGCAATTTTCAAAGACGGCAGATAGAATATCATGAACACTTACTATTCTGTTTAATTCTATCGTAAATCTGTACCCTTATGTATCATTCTACAAGCTTTATCGAAATATCTGCAACTGATTGCTGTAAATAGTTATCTTTATAAGAACGAATTTTGCAGTGTCTAACTAATGGATACGCATGGATTCACCAGAACCTTAGCTTACTTTTTATTTGCACAAGCGGTGGTGGCCGGTATAATACACACTGGCCTTTGAAAATATTGTCAGCTTGAATTGGAACGCCATCCTCAGCACATTATTTCCAAGTTTAAATTAAGTACATTTCGAGGAAGGCTGAAGAAAAATAGCGCATATGTGATCGGCTTCCAAATGCTTAACTTGACATGCACTAACAATTCTCACAACAACATAACTAAATGTAAATTACCACTTTTCAAGTGGTATTTTACATAACAAATTGAAAATTTTCAATTGAATTTAAGCAACAATTTCAAACATACTTCCAGCTGAAAGGAGTGTGGTTTTTATTTGCAAAAAAAATAAAAAAAAGCATGGGCTTAATTTTAATAATTAAAAAGGCTCCTAAATTTGACAAGGTGTTTTATAAATTTGCCAAAGACCTGTTTGCAGCGACGTCTCACTCTTCCTTATAATGGCAATTCATTAACGTGATTTCACTCCAGTTAGAGATAAAATATATTCCGTAGTTTCTATGAGCTTGTCTACATTGCCATTAACCTTGGTCATATTCAATTCATTATGATGCAGCCAAAGTATGAGGATTTATGAAAAAGAAATCAGCTCATTCATCGTTTCGCATTTACTCTAGCACTGTCATGACCCGTATATTTTTTAATCATTTTGCTAAACGCTTCCATTTTAATCAGCACTGTGCTCCTAAGTGAAAAAAAGTTAGGAACCAGTTTGTGCATCAAAGTAATCCAAAGTGAGGTTATTTTAGGGAAGTTAATGTATCTAGTACCTACCGATTTCTTGTAAATGTCCTATATCTCAGCATCTTTTCAAACATAGCTGAAATAATAAAAGTACATAAAACGGCTTAGTAAATTACCAGAAAATGTTTAAATTAGCCCTATTCTAATGCTATTCTTGCCAGACATTTCCCTGCAGTCACTTTAAATTAGGTTTGTCGTTATGTCTTAGTTTTAAATTTGGTTACCGTTCATTCGTATTTGTGGGTTCATGTCGGTAGGCTTACAGGTCCAAGTAAGATTAGAATCGGCCAAAAGGGGTTCGTTAATTACTATATCTAGTTCATTCTGATTCGCTGGCCAGTATATTTATCTCATTTCCTAATCCAATTAATTCAGGCTATTTTAACGGTTCTTAGTGTATTAATTTAAATAAGCACAACAAAATGCTGTAATTCGATTTTGACTATAAAAATCAATTAACGGAATGCCAACTTAAAGCAGGATTATATAGCCGACAGATGTAACAATTCGTTTCGTCGAAATACAATTGATTTATATTCTTATCCAACAATTGATGTGGGCTTCATTTAAACGATGAAATGGAATTTAAAGGTGGATTAACAAAATTCATATTGCCATTTAAGAGATCATGATTGTATTGGCAATTTAAATCTTTTAATCTATTATGTTAAAGTGGTATAAAAGAACACAGTACGATGTTGATTTAAGTGCATTTCGTCATTACTCGGCAACTAGTATTTTAAGTTATCAAATCCGCATTACTTTTTACCGCTTTTTGGTAGAGGCTAAACGAAGTTTTAGATCTTTTAAGGAATAAATAACGCGTCCACAGTGAATCCCTCTTTTATGCGTGATGTCTACAAATATCCATCGATGTTAAATTAATTTATAGTCAAACATTAATCTCCGTTCCTCCAGGCACCGGCAAACCAAATACCGTTTTTTAAGAGCATCGTTTGAACTCTTCTATTCCACTAGTAAAAAAAATTCAAATACATGACCGTAAATTGCTAACATACGTTATAATTTGGTATCCAACGATTATAATTTGAATTAGCTCTTTTCTAGAATTGAGTGAAAGCCGTTCGTGCTGTCAAAAAAATTCTAAGTAGCTTTGGCAAAAGCAAATAAATCTGAAATACATCTGTTAGACGAATTTGGTTCAAAATTTGGTTTATGCAGGTGAAATAAGCGAAAATGTGACAAGTATTTGACGGAATAATTTAACGTTGAAATTTTGGCTATAAGTGTGCAGGTATGGTTACGATATAGTAAAATGTCTAAAGATTAGGTAATCCAGCGACAGTGTGGGTGCAGCTGCAAGCTGGTTGGCTTGACACCGTCATTGCTAACGTGAAAATGCTTCATTGTGCCATCGAAACCGCATGTTTAGCTCCAATATACGGTAGGTATGTAGCTGTCGAAAATACCTAATAATTTTGTAATAATAAAATATAATGAGAAAGCAAAATAATTGATTCAAAGAATATCGTATAAGGCAGAGATGTCAATTAATCAGAATGACAAATCCTAGAAACTAAATAGATATCAAAAAATATCTTTAACAAAAATAATATTTGCATCACTTTATGGTTTGATTTACCAAAAGGTCTCGTAAAAGCTTTCGTCATAATGCCTAGGGTCTTCTGCGTCAACATGATCTGATGGAAATTAAAGAAACTTGTCAGTACCTGGTTCGAACACATTCAAATCAGGTCTACCATGCTAACAAGTATGATCAACATCATTGTATTATTTTTTGGCGTCTACTTAATACAACGCTTGTAGTTCAATGATTATTTTAGAATTGAGTTTTTCATGAACTTGTTTAACCGCATAATTCAACTGGAAGCCTGTTTTAAGAAGTTAAGGGTGAATTTGGGTCTGCCGATCGTGTCTATGTCTTCTCGGGGAAAGCACCCTCCGCATCTTAAGGGAAGAGATATTGGTCTGTGGTATGCTAAGCAGAAAAAGTTGGATGGCGCTAACATTGTTAATATAATCGAGGTGCGTTTTTTTATTTTCATACCCTACTTTTTGCGCATTTGATTTGCCAAAATCCTCGCTTACATTAATCGGGGTTTTTATACCCTTGGTACCTTTAACACTGCACCGTTAATCTTTTTCGGCTTATAATGAAAAAGCAGTAGCTAGCTGTTGCTCCTTTGTCGATGATAAGGATCATCTTTTACAAATAGGTGCCCAAGATAGTTCACGAATGTTATTGTTAAAAATGGTCAAGCAATTTTTAAGTCTGGTTAGTTGATTTCCCATTAAGTTCTCATGTACTTAATTTTGCTCAATGACTGCGATGTGCATGTTACATTCATGTATACTGACAATTTCACAAGTGAAGATAGACTATTTTAGTTCAGTAGACGTCGAGTTTGTTGACCTTAGGTCTCTTGGATTTTTTGTTTTTTCTGCACTTTTAAATACGTGTGACCGCGCCATGGACGTCGGTCTACAGCGACTTTCACCTACCCATGAGAGTATTAACGTAAATCGCCTGCTTTTAAACGACCCGAAATAAGCAAACATCTCCCACTGACTTCCCCTCTGTTCACGTGGTTGGCAAAAAAGTCATTATCCTTGCTGCAGCTCAACCATCCCATCTATTCGGAGTTACTCGAAGACATTTGGCGCGTTGTGTAGGCCAGGTGTAGTCACGATGTTGAAGATACGACTGGTCCCTCGCCCACAAGCATTCACACTCCTGTTGCACGTCTCATTCATGTTTTGATTATCAGGAACCATGCCGGTTCCGTTGTACCATCGGGAAGTGTATAGGCGCATGACAACTGCCGATGGGCACTTGAGCCGCCGTCTCTTCATTCACGATGCATCATGCTGGATACGATCCGTGATCGACGTAATAACTCGCATTAACGCCTGCCGAAAAACAATTCACCGATTTCATCATGCAGACAGAAGCCGTCTTATCTGGATCTCAGATTGTGGAGTCGGTTCCGCTGTGTTTTTGGTCTCGTCGGTGACTCAATCTTTCATAGGCACCGATTTCCCCGATCTCGTCGACCGTCTGACCAAACTCGTAGCCAAAAGCTAAGTGCAAAAAAACCTGCATTCATCCATAATACGACTCTGATAGCACACAACAAGCCTTTCTTGATACATGGATATCCAGACCTTGTCAGCTTGAACCATTACCAGTTCAAAAATCGCCACACTGTCACCCACAAGGTTTTGCAGCCAGCACTCGAGTAAGTCGACCGCCTGTAGTCACATATGCCGATCCTAATCGTGAATTTGAGCATGTGCTGCTGCTCGGAATACTTCGTCGATCGAACCGCAATTAGCTATCAGCACGTCATGTGGTTCCCAAGAAAACTGAAAGTAAGCGGCGCCCGTGATCTCATCGCCCAGTGCCAACGTATGTTTGGTCTAAGGCCCTGCCGATACCAACGCAGTAAAAATTTGCAAATTTCTGAAACCTAGATCTATCAGCCATCTTGGACTTTTCTTGGGCATGAATAATTTCTACTGGTGATCGCTTGAGGTAGCCTATGACAAGACTTGACAGACGCAGCAGGTGAGGCTGTCACACGTGCGAGGGATGATCTTGCAAAGGCTACCGCACTCAGCCACAAATTGAAGAACGCAAGTCAGGTCTTCTCCTGAATCTCACAAGTTTAGGGTACGATTCGCGTTCGAATGACACCCAAGCGTTTTAAATGTGGTGGCAGATCTTTTGCTCCATCAACTAAAAACCGCATTAATAGCATTGGGTGATTCTTAGCCCCTTGGACGGAAATATCTCCCCTTATTTTAGACAAAATCTGATTAGGAGTTAAGGAAAATTGTTTTTTTTTTGGTGGAAATGTTTTCTGAAGCAGCACTGATACTCTCTGTTCAATACCATCGTAATTATGTTGACCGCCTGCTAACGACACTGTATGAATTGTAACACCTCCAATAGCGTTTACCGACCCCAGATTCTCACGCTCCAACGATACTGTCCCTCTGGGCTCACTTATTTTTTATACAATACATGGGTCGTCAATCGTATGTCATGAATATTTCAGAGTACTCAAACCAGACGAAAGATCATGTGACTTTGAACTCAGTTGGAAACAAAGCAACTTTTCGAACGATTTTCTTAAGCACACTTACTTTCGTTGACACAGAGACGTCGTCAGACAACAGAGCCCAGACCCGAAATCGTTTATCAATCTTTTTGATCCTCAGAAGCTTGTCACAACTGCACAGATCCGTCTCAATCGTTCAAACGGGAACCCCTACACCAGTCATATGCCGGCAGCAGATCGATATCCACCGTAACGCTTTTCAGATATCTGACAGGAAATAAACGTTGGCATCGGCAATTGACACTCAGCTTTAACTTGGCGTGTTTTAATTCTTAAACCCCAACCGATTCAGTGATCTCATTCATTTCCTGAAAAGGAACATTTATTTATGAACCGTCAACGAACGAGCGTGATCGAATGTCACTGCCTATTGATTTCAGTCGACAGTCGATATCCCTTCTTCTCCTTCATACGTCGACCAGTTTAAGTGCTTAATGGTGGAAATTCTACTGCCTCCGACAAGAATTTCCCCACTTGTTCACTTCCTCCTATGTCTTCGTTTGTGTCGATAGCGTCAATAGGCCTCCACAACCACCTTACGGTGGCCTTTTTAAGGTTGTACGACATGTAGCCAAATATTTCACACTTGATAGAAATGAAACACAGGATATCCTGAGCGTAGACCACGAACTTGCCTCACACTCTTTTGTATCCCCAACTTCTCTTTTCTCCCGCTTTGACTGACCTCAGAGACCCCCAATATGCTTTCCTGATTCGTTTCGATAAAATTTCGAGCGTTTACCGTCTCAGCCATCAGTCGAGGGGAATGTCTGGCCGGAACAACCCGAGTAGAGAAGCACAGCAGACGACAGCGAATGCGACAGTTTTTCCGTCAGACCAACCAAGTTTACGTGAGAGTAAATATTGATTTTCAATTGTAATCAATAATCAATGACATCCGATCAACTCGTGAATAGGCTTCACTACATCGTAATCGCATGTTCTATCACCTATTGTGGCATTCCTTTGACACCGTTCTAAGTGCCTTGCACGGGTAGTACGTGTATGAACTTAATGCAAATTCGGTGGTTTGTTTCGTAACCTCTAATAATTATTGGCACACACAATCACAACGGATTGATCTGTTGAGTAAGCGAAGTGCCTCTGTCGTTTACAGCCTCTTAAATTATTCTCGGGCAAGCTGTGGATCTTCTTGTGCCCGACGATCTACGTTAACACATCCCGACTAAGAAAGAGAGCAGCCGAAGATAACGCGTGGCTCGACTTATTTATTGTTATAGTAGTAGCGTGGGTGGTGTGCAAGGTAACAAATCGTCTGTTTATATAGGCCCAAACAAGAGTCCTTTCTTGGAAGGTAAATGGGGGGAGTGTGTGTGCAGTTATCCCGATTAAGGTGGTCTCTGCAAGCGCCTTATTTACTTTTGATTTGTTGCAATATTAATATTTTGTCGGCCACATTCAAGTCTCGACAGGTTCGGTCGCATTTTCCTGCCTGCTGTCGATAATGGTATTTAGACAATAGGTTTCAGATCAGCACTCACGTTTTTAACACGTAAATAGCACAATACACCAGCTAGAACTGACCGTTGCTTTTGAAGCACACGAAGTTTGTTGTGCACGCGACTTGCCTACCATAACGTGTTCGGGCATGAGTTTTGCTTGCGATTTCGTGCTTGATTTTCTCGCATGAATCCTTTTTAATCACAAGACAACGCTCTTAGAAACAACGCACTTTCATTGTTGACTCCAACGGCTCACTTTATTCTAACTCGCTACAAGCTATCCACAATTCTCGTCGTTTTTCGTTTAGCATCAAATTCAATGAAGTCCTCTAACAAACCGAGTTTACGGGAGCCATCTGAATCGAACCCGCGTCCAACTCGCATTGGTCCACAGAAGGCAAACGAGCCAACCGACCAGGGTAGTCCCTATGAACGCTTCCTTGCTCTCCTTAGAGCCGATGGCTTTGACGACATTCAAGCACTGTTGCTCCCCCCAACAGACCCTCCGAGTGTGCCAAAACACCTGGCCTCTAGTAGGTCGGAAATGCAGGCCGCAGCGGATCCGAGACCAGCTATTAAACGCGCAAAACTAGAAGCTTCAAGATTCCCATCAAGAGGTCAACTGCGTAAAGTGTACTCCCTGCCTTCGGAAAAACAGACATCTTCGAAGTCCACTGTTGGCGCCGTTTGCGGTCAGCTTCCTCCAGCCATCCCTGTTGTCGATCGAGTCCCTACTGAAACTACTGTTTCAAGACCCCGCAGTTTACTCCCTTTACCTGTATCGAACGAATTACCCCACGGAAACTCGAGACTCCCTGACGTCCCTCCTCCACAATACAGGGTTTTTCACACCTTAATTTTTCCCGATCGGGGAGGCATTTCCGCACCAAGTCTTTCAAGGACAAGTTTTAGTTCGTCGGAATTGCGGAAAGCCTCCATTGAACAACCAAATCGGCCAAATTCCGTGAAAATTGGCGATATTGAGCCCCCGGGAAATTTCTCCCCTGAGACAACTCAATTCCCGCCATCGACTTTACCCGAGCCTATTCCAGTTCAAGATGCCGCGGTTGGAGCCGATGCGCGGGGGTTGTCTTCTCATGTTGTTTCCCCAGCTACTACTCTAGACGAAAACAGTAGAATAGTGAATGACGATAGGGCATTGCCTGCTACCACCTTTGATGCAGAAAGAAGCGAAGATTGTAGCCGGCAGGATCAGAACCTGAGCGAACCTCTGTCAGACCCGTCCGACCACAACTGCGTCATGGTAATTCTCCGACATTAGCAAACATTCACGTCCTCGTCGTGTTACCGGTTGGCTAAGTTGTCGGTAGTTCAGCATTCATTTAAACCTCTCTGTTATCCGCACCTGTTTGTCCCATTCCGACGCTTGTTAATTCCTGAATTGTCTCAGTGCCGCCGTTGAAACCGCTTCGTTACTTCTAGCTCTGCCACTTCCAGGCCCCCCTAATTTCTGGATGGTTTCACCATCCTTGACAAACGGAATGTGTGCCAGTTTTGGCCGACCGTATTGTCATTTAGGACTGCAACTTTGTAGGTGTTTGGTCGTTTCTATTAGATCGAGTTCTCAGAAATCCCGATTACGCAGTCAGATGCCTGAAAAGTACGAATACGCATTTGGCTGACACCATTTGGGAAACAAGGTGGAATCGATGTGAAGGTCATCTGCGTTTATTGTCGCTCATCAAACATTTTTTTCCCGCATTTGATATCAAAATACTAGGTAGGCATATCCGGTGACTAAGTCATCTCGCGCTGTGCTTGTCTACGAGCCTTCAAAAGGGATGTTCAGTTCCCTACTTTTAGTTACTCTTCATATTTTCAAAGAGAGGACTACTACGAATTCCAGGGCCTCAATGTTGTGGTATTTCCCCTGTAACCAGCTTCGCACGATTGCTGAACGGGTTTGTGTTCGCTTCTCCGTAGTATTTGACTTTAACCTGAAAATCCTACCTGCCATAGTAGGTCGATAGTTGCCACAGTTTTGCAACCGTACGAATCGGAACTGAAAAATCATAAACGGTACAAATTTGCTGTTTTTGAGTTGCAGTCAAGGATGAACCTACGTAAAAAAGGCTGCAAAGTTATATAATAGATGGGAGATCTGTGTTGTCTCAAGAAAACGCTGATTTAACTAACTGAAAACCAGTACATTTCACATTCTGCCTAATTCGTTTACTGTCACAACCGAAACCAGGTTGTCTGATCCGATGAAGCTAATTTACGGGAAACAAACTGCGCCACTGGTTTCTAAGTAGTAACTGCGGCCCATAACTCGACGTGGTTGAGTTCGGAAGGTGGCTCAACTTTCTGGTAAGCAGGTGATCTGTCTTCCTACGTCTTGACTGCGTAAACTGAGAACGATTCTGCAGATGACCGATTCTTGGCTGTATAAAACTAGTCCGTCACCTTAAAACGCCGGAATATGATCAAGATCTGTGAGGAAAGGTTTCCTCACGTGCAATACAGTTGAATCTCCCATCAAAACCATTCAATTCCAGACTTGCTTGAGCTAATATGCATTTGTTGAAATTAATTGGGTATTCATATCCCAAAAGTACGCTTCTTGGGTTGGTTTTCGTGTCGCTGAGCATCACTCTACCATGTAAGTCATAATTCCATTCGATGATCGTGGGATTCTTGAGCCGAAGTAGGCATTCGTGATCTTAGATTCCATTCAAAAGAACGTAAATGACCTTTAAGTCGAATTTTGTTCCTCATCCTCGAGTGTCGTGTAAAACAAGGCGTTTTTTCCCTGTTTGAATTGCTCGAATAGGCTTATGAGGAGTTTTTAGGTGTTTTGATTCGAAACGCAGACTCATTCTGGAAGGGAGAGTTCTCGTCTCTGGCGGTCGATTTCCCCCTGAAAGCGTTGCTTCGGAAATCTGAGAAAAAATCGGCAAGATGCTCATCGAGCATGTTTGTTTTGACTCTTCCTTTGCACAAAGTGATTCTCCGCACTAATGGCAGCTGGGCACTTTCCTTTATGTGTTTTCATTTGCAACTATTATTATCATCCTTGAATCCTTTCACACCTGCCTTCAATCTCTCCATTCTTTCCCGCAACAAGAATCCAGAATTTCATTGCATAACGCGCTCTCCATGCAACGTCCAGATTCATCAAAGTAACGGATGCTGAATCTAGAGATTCAGAGTTTCTCACTTGGATATAAAAAAAGTCACACGAGGCGTCTGCTTCTTTTGCGCAAACTTCTGGCACCGTGGTCCGCTACCGAACACATGAAATTCCACAGGCATTGGGGGACAGGCTCTACGTACTCCTAATCCGTTGTGCTTCATATCGTTTACGCAAATTCGGTTTTCCAAGCATAAGGCTGACTTTCTCGTATGCCCTCGTAAAACGTTTGAAGGAAAGGTAGTCTCTAAAGACTAATTGGCGTTCAAATTGTTGTGCACATGCCAATAAAATAATTCCACCACGTCTATAAATACTTCATTTCCAATAATAATGGACTTAGCAGGATGTTCCCTGATTCACCGCACTCAAAACAATCGAATCTAGCATGGTCAAACTGACCTATCCTCAAATCCCTTTTCCGCATTGACCTCATCCATGGTTGTTGTGTTTCTGTCCAGCCCAGTGCTTTCAACATCGACCAGAAGACCACAGAGCGCATCGTCGAAGTGCTGAAGGACGTGGAACGCTTGGGTGGTGCACCCCTCGACGGCAAATCTGCAGCGCCAAAATCACTGAATGTGAAGAGACGTCTTGATGGAGACATGGATTCCGTCGTCATCGATCCCATCGCGGACGAGGAGTGCCTGATCGGCTGTGCTCCTGATAACTCAACGGAGCTTCAAAGGAATGAGACTTTGGATAAAAAGCTCCAGCTGGAGATGATTGAGAAGGTACAGGCGCCGTCGTATGCGTCAATGAATTCCAAGCGAAAGAACCTCCCTACATTTGCTAAGAAACAGGAAATCCTTAAACTCGTTGACGAGAATCAAGTTGTGGTTGTAAGCGGCGAGACGGGCTGCGGCAAGACCACGCAACTGCCTCAATACCTGCTCGAGCACGCCGTGCTTCGAGGTCGTGGGTCGACGACGCGCGTGGTCGTCACCCAGCCACGACGCATATCAGCCATCTCGGTGGCGGAGCGTGTGGCCGCAGAGCGTGGCCAGCGTCTGGGCGAGGATGTCGGCTACCAGATCCGTCTGGAGGCGGTCGCGCCCAGGCGCTCCCAGGGCTCCATCCTCTTCTGCACCACCGGCATCGTGCTGCAGTGGTTCCACTCGGATCCCTTGCTTAAGGTGGGTGGGTACTTGGGCAACCCAGTGCGGTTTGTCCCCTCTACATCGTCCGAATTTCTTTTGCCAGCTCGAGCCTGTGTTTAACTCTTTTTTCGACTTTTTCATCGTACTGGTGGAGATGTGGGGCTCGAACTAACGACCTTGGGATCAAAAACCTCCTCTCCCCCCTTCAACTAGGTTCGGAGATTTGTCACGGTAAAATGCGACACAAATAAGACTAGAGGGGGTGAAGGCCAGCCCCGTGTTTTGTTAACTCTGATGCTACGACACGATATTACCGCATTTCCGCATGTAGTACTTGTAAGCAATATCCTGGTTCCCCCGCCCTAGGTGATCACTTGATAGCCAAAATACACCAAGGAATCGCGAATCTTATGAAAGTGATGAGGTTTTATTGTGTTTCTCATTAAGCCACAATTACTAATACGCATTTAGCAGCAAATGAGGTTAAATTACATGACTTAGCGATTCAGCAAATCGCGGTGCTCACTTAATTGTTAAACATTGCGCCAAATGAGCACACCAGAACATCAAAACAAGGCGTATCAATGTAAATCGGTATGGAGAATGTGACAAGGCTACTTTTGTGGCACACGAGAAACTAGCTTGAATTGATATCTGCATTTCATGATTTCTCGATAGCCATGGTAATCATTGACCTCGTTAACAGAAAAGCCAGTCTCAAGTAAGACACTTCGGTAGGTGTCTTAAAGTTTTTTAAAGACTGATCTCGTAGTCTTGAAAACTGCGCTGGGATCGTGATAAACTGTTAGGGTCGGCAGAAATACAGTGGCATATTGTAAACTGATTTCTTGAAAGCGATGAGCTGGGAACAAGGGTGGTGTCATGATGCACCCGTAGGTACCAAGCGGAGTTTCTTTGTCGGCACTCAGATATTGGTAGTAACGGCGAATTCGCTGTTGAGCAATCGCTTCTGTGGGGAAATGTGAACTGCGATTGTTGGAACTGTAAAAGTCGCCTTCTCCTTCCCCCTAGTCTGTCAGCCACGTGGTTGTGGACGAGGTGCACGAGCGTGAAATGCTCGGCGACTTCCTCTTGGCGATGCTGAAGCGGATCCTCCCGCAGCGTCCGGATCTGCGCGTTATTCTCATGTCGGCGACCCTGAACTCGGTGAAGTTTTCGCAATTTTTCGGTGAGTTCTAATTGACTTGCGTGTGTCCGTTCGCTGGAGCGGAAGCTCCTTGTGTTATGGATACATGCTGTCATGCGCAATGCCAATTCGGTGTAGCGCTGAACACGTATTGTGTATGACTTAATTTTCTGCAGATTTGTATGCAAAGTTACTTAATATTGACAAAAATATGGAGAACAACGAACTTAGTCTTTGCAAAATTGCCCATCGATGTCTATGACCTAGCGCCATTCCCCAGGCAACGTACGAATGCCGTCTCGAAAGAAACTTGCAGCCTTCGCGGCAATAAAGCAATCATTGACGAATTTACGCATTGACCAGAACCAGTAGTAGTTGGATGAAGCCAAGTCTGGTGAATATGCCGCGTGTGGGATGACTTCCCGTCCTAAGTTCAAGAGGGTCTTCTGGGTCGCGCGAGCAAC